TTGTATGGATGAAGTATGGGAAGAAGTTTCACTCCTTGGCGCTTACTTTTGAGGGGAAATGTTGGTTATATGTCATTAACAACCGCCTGATCCCGTCTTCCAACACCACGGAGGTGAATTCTCCTCGAGCTGCTCTGATTTGGTGCTTTATGAATGGCCACAACTTTGACGTGGCTAAGGTGATTCATGAGTAGATGTTCACCTGTTCGGTGAAAAGGTATGGGTTCTTCTTCCCTTCCTTAGTTACTCGACTTTGCCGGGCAGCTCGGGTGCCGGAAAATCTGCCTGTGGATGGGATAGTGCCAAAAGACCACAAGTTCCGAGCAGATAAGGTCACTACTCGGAGGGAGGTGGCAGTGGGTGGTGATGATATTGGTGAATCTGATGACTCTGAGGAAGCGGAGGCTGAGCAGGAGGATGTGAGGGTCGAGTCACCGGCCCATGAGCAAATTGCAGAGGCTGCCGCACCATCTGGGGCTGCTCGGGTTACCCGGTTCACAGCTTTAGAGCGAGAGGTGGCCGGATTGCGTACCTCGGTCACTGACTTAGGTACACGTGTTGATGCGGTGGCTGCCCAACAGGTGAAATCGGAGAAGAAAGTCTTGGGCTGGCTGAGAGCTCTGGGTCGTGCTTGCAATGTAAACCTAGACACGGTCTCCGATCAGGAGTGATCAATCAGGGGAGTTCCTTCACCTCACTATTCTTTATTTTGTATGCCATGCGGACATGTCTTCCTTTTAAGTGTGGGGTGGGGGATACTTGAATGTATGTGTGTATATGTAACAACTTGACTGTTTTATGTTTTCTTTGTTTTTCTTGATTGTTTTTGGTGGTTGTGAGTAATAGTCAAATTAGGTAAGTTGACTTGTCCCGACGACGGATCTCTTTCGACGGGGTTCTTGAGGGTCTAAGTCGACGTGAAAAAAAAAATAGAAATATGTTGGACTCTTCCTGATGACGGATCTTCGGGGCAGTTTTCTTGAGGGAAGTAAGTCTAAAGAAAATACCAAAAAGATTTTTTGTTTTGTTTTAGGTAGTGTAGTAACTCCCCCTTGGTTTTTCTTTGGGCCACGGTTCTTTTCCAAGGGTTTTGCTTGAACCGGGTGTAGTTGGTTTTTGTTTATTTTGTTTCTAGTTGTTTAGTTAGTATTGATGGGCGACGAGCTGAAATAGAAAGAGAAACCCTTGGCGTGGATACACCTGAACACAGTAGACACTAGAGTGTGACACTTAGTCTCAGTGGTTGATTCTCGTTAAGAGTGCCTTAAATTGTATGTCTGTAACTGACTTGAGTGCTCGAACGAGACTGTCTTGATAAGCCGATCTGGAGTGAGTCATGTGCCATGTGTGTGTGAGTTGTTTTGTATTCTATGCTCTACATTTGATGCCTAGAACTTGCCCCGTGTCTTTGCAAAGCGAAATAGTAGCTTTATTCAATCTTAGAAGTGATATAGGCATTTCTTTGTTAAGCCAGATATATAAAGTAGACCCACCTAAATGTGATAAATCGTAGTTAGCCCCGTTGAGCCTATAAGCCTGTTTCTTTGGCAACCACATTACAAACCTTACCCAAATGTTTGAACGGCCCATCTGTTTGTACCCCTTTATCTCCCATGAGCACTTGAATGGTTATGAAATATGCAAAAGCTAAAGTGTGGGGTGGTGGTTTGGTTTTTGAGTGGAACCGATGAAATAGAGAAAAAGGTGCAGTAATTCGAAAAAGTAGAAGAATAAGCACCACAGAAAAAAATATAAAGAAAAAAAAAAGAGAATGAGTAAGTGTAGTACTTGATAAGTGGTGGCTTGATACAATTGCACCTAATGAAGTTGGGGTATTATAAATAGAAGTGTGGTGGAAGGGCTGGTTTGACATAAGTATGGTTTCGGAATGCGAATGGTATTGTATTAAAAGTGCTTAGGGAGGTTAGTCACTATACCCAAATATATCCTACCCGTCCCTTAGCCTACATTACAACCAAATGAAGACCTACTTGATCTTAGACTGAATAGGCTCGATTAGTAGAGTAGTACACTACGGGCAAGCCTATGGTGCATCTGTGTGACATATGAATTTTCTTTCTGAGAGTGAGCGAATTTTGTCTATCCAAGTTCCTAATTGTTCTTAATATTATTATTTGTGGAACTACTCTCTTGTGTGATGTGAGGGCATGTGATTCACAAAGGAAAGGTAAGTCTTGACCTCTGTATAGAGTAATTTGAGTAAGTATGAATATTGCACGACACGTGAGAGTCGACTTTTGAGGCAAAGATTGTACACTACTAGACGTAACTTTGGTGAATTGTTCTTGGTGTGATACGTTAGGGGAAAAGCTTAGTGAAGGATCCTTTATAGAGTAGAGTGGATTGCTCGAGGACTAGCAATGATTTAAGTGTGGGGTGTTGATAATAGGCTAGATTCATGTAGTTTGGCGATTATTTATGCCCCAACTTGACTATGCTTCACTATTCTAGGATGGTTAAATGACGATTAATTGGCTCTAATTGTGAATTTCATGTTTTGCAGGAGTGAGTTGCGCTATAAGGACTTAGGACTGTGTTTGAAGCTAAATTGAAGCAAGGGAAGCCCCTCAGAGCTGAGTACTGTGAAAGAAGAGAGCAAAGAAGAGCTAAATAATGACCCATCTTAGCGCGGCCATTAGCGCGCCCACTAGCGCGACCACGCTAGCCCAGGAACTCGAGACAGAATACTATGCTATATGCACGGCCATTAGCGCGGGCACGAGCGCGGCCGTACTAGTCCAGTTCGGATTACATAATTTCAGGGGTAAATTTAGAAGTTCGGGGGTAATTCCACTTAACCTATAAGAGGTCCAGCTCGCCCAAAGGGAGATTATCAAGGTTTTTACAATTGAGTTGAAGGCAAGAAGAGGCAAGAGGCAAGGAGGATAATTCGACATCGAGTTCTATCTTTCTTCCTTTTGTATTTATCATTTATGATGAATTTTGATGCTATGATGAATACGATTATGAGTAGCTAATTATTTAGTCTAGGGTTTTGATGGAACCTGTTGAAGGATGAACTTCGTGTTATGTTAATATAGTTTGCCCAGTTTAATCTCTATTTGTTCACCTACGTTCTTGTTGTAGTTAATTGATAGGATCCTCAATTAGCTGTGCCTATTTAGTATGTATTACTCGGGAGAGAGTGAATATTTAGGTAATTGTGAACAACACCACTCCCAAAGTATATGAGGGATCAATAACCGAGGGTTTAAAGGAGGGATTAGGGATAACGAAGCCTTGGGTGTAATCTACAGTGAGCTATAATAAAATCCAGCTAGAGTAACTCGGGAGAGTGCGTCTAGTAAATTGTCCTAATTACTCGGGAGAGATTTACGATAGTAAGAGTGCTCATGATCGATAGACGATTATGCAAATCTATATGAAACATAACAGGAAGGGATTCCATCAATAGGGGAAATCACAATCTTAGATCCTTCTCTTAATTGCTTACAACTCAATCATAGTTAGCTGTTAGTTTACTCAACGTTCTTCAGTTATAGTTAGTTAAAAATCACCAATTGTTATTCAAAATATTTGGGAAGTTGACTATGAAGAATTTAGTGAGTCTAACAAAAGTAATTGGTAGGTTAATTCCCCGAGGATTCGACTCCGGGCTAAATACTCAGATTATACTTGCAACGTCCGCTTGTCCTTTTTATAAGGCATAGTTGGGCGTGATCATCCACCATTGTTGAACAAACTTAAATAAGTGAGTTTAAATTTCGAATTTGATTTTGGGAGAAATTTAAAGTGAGTGTCATTTAGACTTATTAGAAATAGTATAAGGAGGTGGTATATACAATTTGAAGTCATTTAATGTAGATTTGGATTGGTTTTGAACAAGAATGGTAACTGAAAATCATGAAAGAAGTTCGTCTACAAACTCTTGTATAAATGTGTATAATAGTATATAATAGGTGTTTACACACACACACACACACACACACACACACACACACACACACATATATATATATATATATATATATATATATATATATATATATATATATTATACACACACACACANCACACACACACACACACACACACACACACACACACATATATATATATATATATATATATATATATATATATATATATATATATATATTATACAATATTATACATCATTATACAAAAACTAACTTCGTCTTCTTCCTTGCGTCTTTTCTGAAATTTAACTCAAATCTACTTCAAATCACTTCAAATTTTAATTTTGAACTCCTCTTGATATTTTTCAATCAATACGAACAACACCCAATCCAAACAACTAAGAAACCAAAAAAATCCTATTATCGAAAGTGAAGCTTTGAATGGCCTTCAATAGCGGACTTCTATTCTTCAATTTTCTTACATTGCAACCAGGTCACACAGATATAGAGTAATATTTTTCGAATTTGAGTTGAAATTTGAGCTTCAAAGCTCCTTCGATGGAGTTTCAAATCTGACCGCCATAAAACTTCAACTTTAAGTTTGGACACACATCAATCGAGATTCAAACATTTAAGATCTATAAATATTTGGGAATATTTAACAATTTAGTAGAGAAAATACTTCAAAAGTTTGAGATCTATATATATTCTAATTTATGTGAGTTATAGAAGGTAAAGAAAAAAGAAAGCAGAGAGAGGCAAGTGGAGAGAAACTTGAGTGTACTGGGAATGAAGAAAGAATAAAATAAACATACCTTAGAAGTATGTCTTTAATAATGGCTAAAGGTTGAAAAGAATTTTTTTTTAGGTTATGTACAATCTTGGCCAAATAGAGTAAGGACTTCAAACCTAAGCCATCTTCGGTTTGGTTGTTAGGCTAAGTGACAACCAAAAGAAAAATGTCCTAGATTTTGATGTTTAATGTAAGGAAGGAAGGAAATTATATAGAATTAAATAGCCTCAGAAATAAAATTAAACTTCCACTATCAAAAATCAATCCCCATATTATTATATTATTTTATATCAAAGGAAATAATAATAACAAAAGAAAGAACCAATTAAACATATCCCTCAAATGTACATCCATAGGCAGATCAAACAAGAAAAATGAAAATACATGTAGAAGGGCAGCCCAATGTACAAAGTATTTTGTATTCACGCAAAATTCGGAGAAAGGTCGTAGCTCTGAGGGTGCGATGTAAATAGCCTAGTCTAATGTAAACATTAGTAGCTTTTTACACAGTTCAAACCCGTGAACACACGAAAACAACTATACCATTGTTCTAAAGTTCCCCTCCTTAGCAACCAATAAGGGGAAAAACGTTATTCTCAGGGAAAATATAATAAAGTGGGAAAATAAAATAAAATCTTGAAATACCTCTTAAATTTTAAGGACAAAAAGGTCTACCCAAACGTGCCTTATGACTAGGAATATTGAAATGCCTAATCCTCCCTTCTTGTTCTACCAAATACCCTTCACACAGAAAAGCCTTTGAAAATTGATCTTCAACAACTCTATCAACATCATGTACAAACACATCAGTTTCACCATTTTCTTTATTCCTGGCAATCAAACCAGCCGTGTAAATTGCACTCATTCTACCTGGTGCACCATCATGCCAACCAGTTGGTGCATCAACCATAATTAAATCCCAATCAATTTCCAATACTTCTTTTGGCAACCCTTTTAAAGCAAGTTGACATTTAGAAAATCTTGGATCTGTTACTTTCTTGCAATCTTCATTACTCATTCCAATTTCCATTAGTTCATCAGCTTGAGTTATTCTTGTGTCATAAACAACATGGTGTGATTCAAGATTTGGTAATTGGCTTTGTATTTGCTCTATCCATGACTTGTCTTCTTCAAGAAAAACTGTGCGGCCACCATGGTTAAGTGCTGTCCACATTAAACTGTCATGACCTAAGCCAAAGACTAAGAAATTACAAGGGGATTTTTTTTCAAGAACTCTTAAGGAAACTGAGATTTCTTTGATTGTTTGTTGTGGGGTTACATTTGAAGTTGCATAATGGACTAAAGCATTTGCTAATGATGGGGAAATTTTGTTGCATGTTTGTGTTAAAGGAACTGAAGGACAAGCTATTGAGGGTTTGTCTTCAGTATTTTCTTGATCTTCTGATGAGTTTGAAGGGTGAATTACAGCTGATGATTGAGTTTGTTGAGGAGGAGAAGGTGAAAAAGTTGATCTAAGTACTAAAAAGAGAAGAAAAACTAAGAAAAAACCAATGAGAATGAGCTTATAATTAATGGGGTTTTGGCTTTTGGATCTCATTTTTTCTTTGGGAGAAGAATCCAGGATGAGAGTGAAAAAAAAAGATGAGAAAATATGAGTTTTAGGAGAGATGGGGTGAGGATTTCCAAGATTTTTGGCTTGGGAACATGGAAGAAGTGTTATATAAAATAGGAGTATGAAATATTAAAAATGGAAAGAAGAGCTCAAAGGGAATTATTATTAAAGAAAGGCTAAATGATTAGTTTTAGTTTGTCATACCAGCTTCTAACTAATTAAGAAAGAAATTGATAATACATATAGAAAAGGAAGGTAGGAGCACACTATAAAATAAATATATATTTGGTGTATTTTTTAATATTATATAGTTTGTTGCTACTATTTTTTATTTTTAATCTTTCCTTGAGCCAAAGGTATATCGAAAATAATCTTTCTATCTTCTCATGGTAAGGGTACATTACGCTCCACTAGGGGTGCAAACGGGCGGGTCGGATCGGGTCGGATATGAGTGGGCTGAAAACGGGTAATTAAAAAATGGATAAATTATCCGACCCCACCCGTATTTGAGACGGATAAAATGGATTATCCGGCGAATAATATGGATATCAATATTATCCATAGCTTCTTGAATATAATCACTTTTGGGAGAATTCCTAGTCTCCCAAACGCGAGGAACCCCTAGTTTGAGGCTTTACAAATACAAAAGTTAAACACATTAGTTATTCATTGGTTAACCATTTTCTAAGTGGATAACATGGTTCTTATCCATATTCGACCCGTTTTTAAAAAGTTCATTATTTAATTAACCCATTTTTTAATGGATAATATGAGTGAATAACTGTTTTCTTTTAATCATTTTGTCACTTCTACGCTCCACAGAACCTACTTGTAAGATTATTTTGAATTTATTGTTGTTGTTGTTGTTCTTAATATTATATAGTGGCAATAATTTTGCATGAATAGAGTTAAGAATTACTTAAGAACTTTATATTCTAGGACCAGAATTTCCAGTTCCCTTAAAAAACTAAAAAATACTATACTATTGTTTTCCCTTCAAATTGAAGAAAGTGAAAAGGGTTGATGGAGACAAGAAAGCTAATGATGTTACTGATTGTGCAAGACACAATTATAATACTAGTTTGGTAAGGATCTGTAGATAAAGAATTTGTTGGTGTACTAAAAAAAATGCTTTTGCTTAACTAGGATTTAAGTTTTTCCTTTGGAGTAGTTGGCATATTAGGTGATACTGTATGATACTGATTTCCCATGTTATACTTTGACTTATAAAATAAAATAATTTATTGCCATGTGGTTAGTATAGTAGGCTCTTTCCTTTATCTTCAACATCAGCATACCTAGTATATTTCTACTTTAAAGGCAATTCGGTATACAAAGTATATCATATTCGCGTGAATTCGAGGAAGGATCGTATCTCAAGGGGGCATGATGTAGGCAGTCTACCCTGATGCAAGCATTAATGGCTGATTTCACTGTTCGAACCCCATGACCTATAAATCACACAGAGACAACTTGACTATTGCTCGAAGGCCGATTCCATGACTCTTTTCTTTATCTATTTTTTTTAATTATCAAGAAGAATTTTATTTATTTAATTTTTAACTGGGCAATACGTGAATATGGCTCTCTTTTTAATTTTTTGGGTGCATAGGAAATGCAAAGAGATTTTTTTTTATTTGTCGATTTTCTATTTTGGTGGTTACAACATAACATCAGAGTACAAAGGACACCACAGTTTCTGCTTATAATCAGCAGAACATATGGGCCAGTTACAGTTAAAGCATCACAAATTTTGGTCAGATTCTGTAAATTTGATTTACAGTAATAACCCCTTTCGTCTGCACCTCACACTCCAACCAATAAAAAATCACCACGAAGAATTGGACGTATACAGGTTTTGCATTGTTCGAGAACCTTAAATTAGGGTCACGTGGCTACATGCTGTAATTACTGTGAAGGATAATGTGTTTTTCGTACTCTTTTGCTTCATATTACATGTTTTTTTTAAAAGTATTTTTGTTATAAATAATTAGGAATATTCTTTGAAGTTTATATTTCAATTTTGAGCGAATTCGGTGAAGACTCGAGTTGGTTTTAGTTGGAATTTCATATTGAAATTCGAGGAAGAATACATAAAAAATTGTATATATTTTGTACAGGTGTAGAAACGACATACAAAATATATATTATTAACATAATTGTATACACGTTGTATAAATTATATGTAAATTGTAGCTTTTGATCGAATTTCTGTACAAAAAAATTATATTCAAGTTGTAGATAAATTGCTGATTTTGAGTGGATTTATATCTATTTTCTAAAAAAACTTTAGTTACTTTATGTAAATAGAAAAACTTAGATAAACATAGTAAATAAGTTTAAGATTTCGTATATATACGAAAAGTCTCATAAATAATTCCTATTTTTAAATGTTAAATATTTTAAAGCAAATTTAATTTATCCAAGAACTAATTGGTATTGAACTTAATCACATATCTTTAAAACCACAAATCAAATTTAATTGTTACTCGTATTTTCTGAGGTAAATAGTTTGGCGCCCACCGTGGGGCTAAAGATAATAGTGATTATTTCTTTACCGGTTCTCATTACACACGTTATCTTTACGCTTTTTCTTGTCAAGAATCTTTGATATTCAGGCTGAAACATGTCTAGCTCACAAAATGCACCTGTTCATGACAATGAGGGTCTTGGAGAAAACAACAATGTAGGGGTCGGTGTACCACCAATAAATCCTGGCAAAGTGCCAAACGTGGAACTAGTTGATGTCGGTTCTCATATTGCTATAAACACCAGCCTAGGCACAGACCCCGAAGGGAGCGTACGCAGGGATGCTCGACCAAGTGATCAAGGAACGCCAGGTGCAGGAGATGGAGGAGTTAGCCTCCAGGTGATATTTGAGATGTTGCAGGCTCAGCAAATCGCCATCGATCAACTTGAAAGTCAGAATAAGACCCCGAGTGTAGCTGAACATGAAAACAATCAACGTGTTGAACCAACGCCGGAAGGACCAAATGGAGACAGCTCGGGGATTGACTCCACCATTATGAAAATGCTCGAAGAGCTCACTAAGAAGATCGAGTCCGGAGAAAAGAAAATTGAGGATAACGACAAGAAGGTGGAGACTTATAACTCCCGTGTAGACCAGATACCGGGGGAACATCCAGTTTTGAAAGGTCTAGATGCCAAGAAGCTCATACAAAAACCATTCCCACAGAACGCAGCCCCGATGCCCATTCCTAAGAAATTCCGCATGCCCTATATACCCAAGTATAATGGGACAACCGACCCTAACGAACATATTACTTCATACACTTGTGGGATCAAAGGAAATGACTTGAATGACGATGAAATCGAGTCAGTGTTGTTGAAAAAGTTTGGGGAAACACTCTCAAAAGGAGCTATGATTTGGTATCAAAACTTAGCTCCTAACTCTATTGATTCATTTGCTATGTTAGCTGACGCTTTCGTTAAAACTCACGCCGGGGCCATAAAGGTAGCCACGAGAAAATCGGATGTTTTCAAGATAAAACAAAGGAACGATGAGATGTTAAGAGAGTTCGTGTCCAGGTTTCAGATGGAAAGAATGGAACTGCCGCCGGTCTCCCGATGACTGGGCGGTACAGGCCTTTATGCAGGGTTTGAATGAGCGAAGCTCAATTGCTTCTCGACAACTAAAGCAAAACTTGATCGAGTATCTAGCTGTGACATGGTCAGATGTGCACAACTGTTAACAGTCAAAAATCAGGGCTGAGGACGACTTAGGAGCCCCCTCGGGCTTAGTTCATCCTAACAGGTTCGTGGCCAAGCCTCCGAGGGACATGAACAGGGATTCGAGATCAAACAAGGAAAAGTATCAGCCATATATTGACCGAAGGAACAGCGGCCCAAGCCGTAACATCCCTTGGAGCGATCGGAGAAACGATCGAGGGCAAAGTTCTCGGAGACTCATGAGTAAGAGCGGGTTCGATAAACATATCGACCCCATGAAGGCTCCCCGATTATCAGAGTACAACTTTAGCGTGGACGCATCAGGGATCGTGTCAACTATTCAAGTGGCCAAGGTCCATACAACCGATCCTTCTCAAAGAAACCCGAACTTGATGTGCAAGTATCATGGCACACATGGTCATCGAACGGAAGATTGCAGACAGTTGAGGGAAGAAGTGGCTCGGTTATTCAACGAGGGCCACCTTCGCGAATTCCTATGTGATCGGGCTAAGAATCACTTCAGGGAGAGAGGTGCAAGGAAAAATGAACAAGAAGAACCACAACATGTAATCCACATGATCATTGGCGGAATCTACGTCCCTCAACGACCTGTATTCAAGCGAACCAAAGTATCAATCACCAGAGAAAAACGAACTCGGAGCTATGTGCCCGAGGACATCTTATCATTTTGTGACGAGGAAGCAGAAGGCATATCTCAGCCTCACAACGATGCCCTGGTAATATCTATCCTTTTGAATAAAATTCAAGTTAAACGTGTTTTAGTGGATCCAGGTAGCTCAGCAAACATAATCAAATCGAGGGTCGTGGAAGAACTCGGCCTACAAAATCAGATTATACCTGCATCCAGGATCCTGGATGGCTTTAACATGGCAAGCAAAACAACAAAGGGAGAAATCATCTTGCCAGTAAACATAGCTGAGACCATACATAAGACAAAGTTCCATGTCATCGAAGGTGACATGAGGTATAACGCACTCCTCGGGAGACCGTGGATACACAGCATGAGAGCAGTGCCCTCGACTCTTTACCAGATGATGAAGTTCCCGACAGAGGAGGGAGTAAAAACAGTCTTCGGGGAGCAGCACGCCGCAAAAGAGATGTTTGCAATCGAGGAAATACCCCTTACCTCGGAGAAACCAAGCGCCGAAGATAAGTAGGCGGCTAAATATCAATCGCAGCCCCCGACCTCGGCGGAGTCGGAACAACAGTTAATCGAAGACGAAGAGGACTTCCTTACTCCTCGAACTTTCGTCGTTCCCGAAGAGTCCGACCCAACCAAGTCAACTGTCGAGGAACTAGAGCAGGTCATACCCATCGAATATCTGCCCAAGAGAAAGGTATACCTGGGAACGGGATTAACCCCCGAACTCAGGAGAAAACTCATTCAATTTCTTATTAATAATATGGATTGCTTTGCTTGGTACCATTTAGATATGACAGGGATTCCTCCGAAAATCACCAC